ATTCTCTGTTGGAGTTTGATTATTCCCGGTTATTCTATTTTTATTTATCTATTTATTTAGTTATTCCTTGATGGATTGTATTCCTCACTTTGCCTTATTTTATCTCTCGTTTAGATATTTTTCATTCTAGATTTTGGGCATTCTGGGACGGACCGCTTGACTAATTGTCTAGTTCTGCATGCCCCGTTAAGTTGCTTAAGAGGTATTTAGTTATGTTTAAGGTACCCCCTGATTCCAAAGATTTTATTTTCAGGCCCATTTCTAAAGGGAAGGGCTCTTGTAAGCTTGTTGACCCCGATAAGCCAATTAGTTACTCTACTATTAGAGGGCCTTTTCGCCGGGACCTTCAAGGTCTCGGAGTTGAACCGTCCAAGTTTGGTTTGCATTCTCTAAGATCTGGAGGAGCCACTATGGTAGCAAATAATGGAGTAAACGACGGGGTTTTCCAACGACATGGTCGTTGGAAATCGGTACAGGCCAAAGACATACGTAGACGATAATCTTGAACAACGACTCGAAGTATCGCGTTTTCTTGGGCTCTGAGGGCGGTTTCGTGTTCTTTTTAGGGGTATAATATCACCTAGCCTCGTGCATCTTGCCCAATTCTTTGTCAGTCTATATATGCCTCGGGTTGGTTCTCGGCAGGCTTCCCTGAGTAAACTTATTTGGTGTACACTACTGTGTTATCTGTTGTGTAGTGGAGACTAAATCTATACACCAGAATAAAGCTGAACAAATGCGGTTTTTGATAAAAATGATTTTAGCGAGTTTTCTTTTCAGGAAGTGTCAGGAGCCTTTAAGACGTGAAACGACCAAGAGTTCTTCTATTGAATTTATCGGGTTGGATGCCACTGCACAAGCAAAATGGCTGCACAGTCTTATCCACAAGTGTTTTTTTTTTTTTTTTTTTTTATCAAGGACCTTCTTCTGCTTTTGATTTTTCCAGAGCAAAGAATTTTCCGTAAAAAAAGAGCTTTCATGTGTAAATTTTGTCAAGTGCGCGATGTAAACAAAATATGCAAATAACATTAAAAAAATGAGCGATGGCCGCGAAAATTCCCTCAGGGGACTCGTCCAGGTAACGAGATATGACACCTTCCTGATTTATTAATTTTCATCAGAAGTTACGTTTTTCCAAAGAACTCGGTACTTTTGGATATTTTAAACTCTTTCTCTTGGCAAAGTTAGGTAAAAAGTTTGAGGTAAAATTTCCGCACAGCCCCATACTATATTATGCATTCAGTTCTTGCATAGAGAAAACAATGACAAAAACAGTACATTGCCATTGGGAAAACAGTTTTGTTTTACAATAAGTTGGGGCTGTGCGGAAATTTTACCAAGTTTGAATTCTTTTTTTTTTTTTCGGCCTCTGAAGGTAGGAAGTAACCTTGAAACTGCTGATATTCAAAGCTTCTCCGAAAAGTACGAAATATAAAAATAAGATATTTGGCAAGAATGTGGTTGAACTTCTTGCATTACGTAGATGTAGATGTTCTTGTGTCCAAAAAGCACAAAAAAACAAACAAACAAAACTTTCTGTCTACGTGCGATGTGAAAATAAAGAAGGGTTATAAATAAATATTCAACTATATGCTTTGCCAACATGGGAATTAAAGTGGGCTTAATGTTACCTTTGTCTCTAATGTAAATGAATTGAATAACGTTAACTAACAGACTAAAATGTAAATTACGAATAAATGATACAACTTGTTGGTTCAATAATTCTCGCCTCTCTGTTCAACTTGCAAGCGGACTCTCGTGTTTGTGCCCCTGGCACAGCTACCTGTAACACCATTAGCAGCCCCCTATGGAAAAAATTGTACCTCGCTACGTCTTGTCGATCCAGGAAAGCGGCTACCTCTTTACTTTGGGCTCGGGCACAAGCTGAAAGCTGACTGCACTAGACTATTTCAATTGACTTGCGTAATTTCGCGAAGTTGTGTCAACGACGAAAAAGACCTTCTCTGACTCGGTCTCTAGCCGTAAGAACACCAAGGGGACTGACCAGCTCGATAACTTCGGTTTTGTTCACACCAAGATACCTTCAAAATCAGTGGCACTGCCCGTTTGCGATCGTGTGATGTCGTTCTCATCAATAATTGCTTTTGCAATCATTGCTATTGTTTCATCCCAAACTTCCTGGAATGATTTAGAACAGCTTCATCCATTCTTGTTTTTCAACGAGAAAGATATCCCTAGTCTCCAAGAACGCGCGCGAACTACTCACTCTGAAATATCTCAAAGGATCTACTTGGCCAGTCAAGAGATAAAAATATGGCCTGAATATTATTTACCACCTGAAGATTGGAAAAACTTCTCTAGTGCTTGGAACGAGCGTTATGGCAATGACCTGACTGCGTTAGCTTTCTATTGCGTTCTCAATCCAGAGGATCTCAAGGCGACAGAGCTTGCAATTCTGTTTATGGAGCGACTTTCCAATCTTCCCAACTGGCGCGTCGCCGAATCATTCCATGACGATGTCCCCGTAGCCCACTCTTTAACCGGCATGGCGACCGCATATGACTTTCTGTACTCACGTTTAAACGACACTCAAAGAACTCGGTTCTTAAAGAATATAACGGCAGTGACAGAGGAATTATACGAGAGATCTTTCAAGCTTTGGTGGGGGTTTTCTTATCTTCAAAATCACGTAGCCACAAACTATATGGCGATATTTAATGGCGCCTTAATTGTCGCCCGACACAAGTTATTCGAGGGGGAGAAATGGTTGTCACGAGCTCACTTAATGTTAAGTAGAAACTTAGAGCTGTTTAACTTCGTAGTGGACGGCTCCATTAACGAAGGTGTTTATTATGGCACTTACACTACACGTTCACTGACGCAGTATGTGTTCCTTGCGTTACGCCACTTACTTGTAGACTTCACGCATTCCCCTTGGCTCAAAGAGCACGCGTCGCTTCTTTATCATACGGTGCTCCCAGGGTTCAGAGAAACCGTTGGCTATGGCGACTCCAATCGGAACTGGTCTTACGGTCCAGAAAGCCAGCTAGTTTTCCTAGACAACCATGTTTTGAGAAGTGGCTTGGGAAATTGGCTGGCCAGACAGATAAGAGAGCACAAGGTTCAAATGGAAGGAGTGAAAAACTATAGTCAAGCGGCGTCACACCAAAAAAGCATGCTCCACACAGAGTTCTTATTCTATAATCCTGATATTCAAGAGAGAGCACTACCCAATCCAAGCATGCCTCGACTCCACGTGTTCAGTGATTGGGGAGTGGTAACTTACGGGGGGGGAATGGACATATCTTCCGGCGATAACTTGGGTAGTCCCTGGGGTAAGAAGAGAACATTTCTTTCCTTTAAATGTGGGGTGCTTCACGGACGAGCGATAAACTCTCTTGTTAGAGAAAAACACGTTCGATTTTGGCTAGAACGACGGATACGTTTCAACCCTGGCCATGAACAGCCGGACCAAGGATCATTTGTGTTTGCCCCGAATGGTGTACCTTTCATTACGGAGACCTATTACGCCTTCAAGTACACTTTCCTTAATAATGCTCTGATATTCGGTCCCTCCCAACAGTCATCTTGCTATAAACCC